CCGTTCGCACCGTCGCGTCGCACCCCCTTCGAAAATGGTGGTATGAGCGGGGCGCGAGACATGCACACGCTGGCGAGGCTAACAACCCCTCTTGGCTGACCGCCGGTGGCCAGCGGTACCCCCATGTCGAGCCGACCCGCAAGTCCTTAAACTTGGAATGCCATCCCCTAAACACTTTCAAGGGTGCAACATTTTCAGCACTTTTTCTGCATTTTTTGGAATTTTCAGCATCATTTCTTTCATTTTTTTTTTTTTTGAAATTTCTCTACAAAATAAATTTCAAAAAAATGCCATCCAATGGCTATGTTGATTGGGAGATAAGTTCTAGTGTTTTGGGAGTGCATAATATCAATGAATGTGTTTGGCTATATCTATGCTTGCATATAGTTGGTAGCCAAATTCGGTCACACCGTGACCTTTTGAGCCTAGAGGTTGCCCACTGCAACTTATTTTCATTTTGAGTGTTTATTTGCCCTCTTTGGTTGTGTAACTTCTAGAACTTGCTTCATACCGTTTAAGAGCTACATGTTATGTGATGACACGAGAATGATTAAGGCATTAGGATTTAGCCATATAGCTTTAAAAATGACCACAACCTTATACATGTTATTTTTCCCTAGTGAACCATTTTGAGCCTTTAAATGAATAAGAAATTTTTATTCTTTAGCTAGTCCCAAAGAACCTTAGCTCATAAAAAGAACCCTCTTAACTCGTCATTGGGTCAGTGGATGTCATTATTTCATTTATCTATGCAAGATGACCAAAAGTGATGAAGTATGGGTGAGATTGGAGTTGAAAAGTGATTGTACAGTTGATTTGCTTTGGGTGAGGAATTGTTTGTGATCAAAGGAGATGAAAAACGAAAAAAAGAACAAAATGAGTTTTATTCTAATTTTGTTAGTTGTAAAATCTTGTTGGCCCAAACTTTTGTGTTCATTTTATTCTTAAAATGATTTATGAGCAATGAGGGCATAAAATAAAGTTGATGGTTATGAGAATGTGATGAAGGTTGAAAATTTTGGATGATTTTTTCATTTTTCCCTATGAATACAAAAAAAAAAAAAAAAAAAAAAGAAAAAAAAAGGGAAGAGTACCACTGAGGGTTAATGGGTTATGTGGAATTGAGGAGCTATTTCTTCGGTTTTACCAAAAAAAAAAAAAACAAAAGAAAAAAATAGAGGGAATCGAAACCATTTCCGAAACGGAATACAATATATATCAGTTCAAAATTCATAGAGGGAAGTCAACTACAAAGACTCTATTTCACTATCAAAAGGATAAGGGAAATCAGCATCCCAAGACAACATTAAGACATGAACAACAACAGTACAACTCAACACAGCTCAATATGTAATCTACTGATCACAAAGTATAATACATCAAGACAAGGACAACAACAGTAAACAAGTACAACTCGAGGTGTATTCTAATGATCACAAAGTAGAATACCACTCGACATGCTCATCAGAAAAGGATAGACATTCACACATTGGCAACTATATGCCACAATGACACTTCATGTCACAAGTTCCAAGTTCCAACCTTATGCCCTGTTCCAACCTTATGGCTACCCCCGGCCTTATTACAATTCCAACCTTTACCTCCTAGTGCCACCCTGTACTTCTGAGTCCAACCTTGTACCGAAGGGACCGTCGTCCCCCCTCCAACATAGCCTCCAACATACCACCTATTCATGAGTACACGAGGGTACTTTTCATTTCAATCACACAGCCTCCAACAAATGAGCCTACGCTCAGGTCACACCACCAATTTCATTCATGGCCACCACGAGGACTACATCTGTACCTTGGTGATTAAGGTCCCATACCCTTAACCGTGCAATTCAAGGTACAACCAATACACATGTATTCATCACAGGAATCAATCAATGGATCACAACAAAGATATGAAACCATAATCAACAACGAAGGATTACAATCCGACACCAACGATGGTCAACACAAGTTGCCATCATCAAAAGGAAAGAACAAACCGCACACACTAGCATTTCAACATCAAACTAGCATGCTTATCAAACGGATAAACCAAACATAGTTCCGTAAAACATACAAGACTCATCATGGTCCAACGAATCACAAAGTTGAACACTTAGCACGATTCAAGACACCAAATTCTACATGAATTCCTAACATACCATTCTGGACATACGAAACATCAAGAAGGCACTCAAATAGCCCAACAAAAGAATATCGGGAGGTCAAAACATCAATTTAGGATGGAAACTACCACAATACTCCTAAGTATTAGGTCAAGTTTTAATACAAAGTCAAATAGTAACTTTGTTTTTTCTCTTCCAAATAGAAAATAGGGTGCATCTGCAGTATTTTCATGAATCATACCTAAAAAAAAAATAGTACTAACAATTAAATTTAAAGTCAAACATTTAAAATAAAAAAATAAATAAAGAAGGATTTTGATTACTTACTCATCACGTGAAAACGTTTTTTGGACACAGTTTTCATACTTTTTAACTAATAATGTCAAATCATACGAACTATGAAATGAATACCCATGAATATTCAACCACTTTTCAATAATTTTACTACATTATCCAAATTGTCTACATTTCTTTTTGCTGAGGTCTTTATCACAGACATTCCTATCTTTAATTGAATGCAATTACTTCTTTCCACCCCAAAGATATTATATGCTTTTATACCGAAATCCCCTTGTACTGGATGACACTTGTTATGCTCCCTAACAACTATCTACTCACGCAATTAAAAAAACAATAAACTAAATAGATGGAAAACAAGTATTTATCTTATAAAATATATTACATAAATAGTTAATACTTGAAATGCTTTTATACCGAAATCCCCTTATAGTACCAGTATATATTATAAAAATTATCTTATTCAATACCATAAAGGATTTGAAAAATATAAATTCAAATAATTTAAATGTATTTACAATATAAACATATTTATGGAAATTGCACATACAAAAATATTAATATTTATAATCCAAATAGATTCCAACATACTGAAAATTTTAGTCCATATGAACTACTAACCCAAAAGATATCTATATATAACTAACTATGGGTAAATACTGATTTTTTTAAAAAAATGTCAGAACATGCATCAAAGTTTGTAAATTATTATAAATATAAAACTAAAAAATTGTAAACTTTTATAAATATAAAACAAAAAAAAATAGATCAAATAAATACATAAATTCGAAATTATATAAATATAGAATTTAAAAAATTAAAATGAATGATTACATAATGTACATTTATGGCAAATTATGCTGTGAACACGTGCTACCTTGTAAGGTGGGTACGGTTCCATATCCATAATTTCTATACTGTAGATTCATAATTTCTATATTGTAGATTCGTAATTTCTATATTGTTGATCCACAATTTATGTACTGTAGATTCATAAAATTTATATTTTAGATTCCAATTGTTGAACTCTGTTTTCACAAATCAGAGAACTATATGTTCATAATTTAATAACTATACAGTTTAGAAATTATGAATTTACAGTACAGAAATTATGAATCTACAGTACAGATGTTATGAATCTGCATATAAAAATTATAAATCTATTGTATAGAAATTATGAATCTACGATTTAGAATTTATGAATCTAAAGTATAAATTTTATGAATCTACAGTATAGAAATTATTGATCTATAGTATAGAAATTATGAATCTATAGTATTGCAAGGTGGGCACGTGCTCACAACATACAATCATTATTGCATGGTTGTGTGGACCATAAATAAAAATCACATTTTTAATATATTAAAGGTACATTATTTATGTACGTAATGTACATTTTTTGAAAATACATTTTTAATATATTAAAAATACTATATAATATATTTTTCAGTACAAAAGTAGTGTACCTTTAATACATAAATAATGTATTTTTAATACATTAAAAATGTATCTAGGTCCACACAATTGCACAATAATTTCCTCACAGCATAAAGTTCCGTACATTATGTAGCCAAGCAAAACCCAGCTTATTTATTAGAGCATCCACATTGGTTGGGGAGAATGAGGGGATAATGTAAGAGTGATTAGGAAAGAGAATGTGGAAGGGGAGAAAAAAACAAAACAAAACAAAACAAAAAAAAATTAAAAAAAAAAAAAAAAAGTAATCAGACGCGTCAGGCGCGCCTGACGCGCCACCGGGCGCGTGCAGTGCACGCGCCCAGCTTTTGCCCAGGCTGTGCGCGAAACGCGCACAGCCTTGCTTCTTCTTCTTTTTTTTTTTTTTTTTTTTTTTTTTTTTTTTTTTAAATTTTCTGACATTATGCCTACACTTGCAGGACAACTATTTCTAAATTATCTCCCCCTCACATTAGTTACTATCTCTACATGGGAAGAAAGCAAACTGAAATAACTCCACATTATCCACTAGTGTGGATGCTCTTAAAAATATAATCAGCCTATTTATTTTACCCTCAAAATTAAAGTCAGCAAATTATGCTATGGACCCGTGTCTACCATGTGCATGATAGACACACTGTACATTCATAATTTTTATACTGTACATTTATAATTTTTATACTGTAGATTCATAATTTTGAATCTGTAGATCCATAATTTCTATACTGTAGATTTATAAAATCTATACTGCACATTCATAATTTCTGTACTGTATGAATTTACATGATAAATTTTATGAATCTACAGTATAGAAATTATGAATATATAGTACATAAATTATGAATGTGCAGTATAGAAATTATGAATCTACATTATAAATTTTATGAATCTACAGTATAAAAATTATAAATGTACAATATAAAAATTATGAATGTACAGTGTATTCACCATGTACATAATAAACACGGGTCCATAACATTACGCTCCATAGTATTCATATTATCAAAATTCAGCCCAAAACCCAACCCAAATATCTTTTTTTTTTTTTTTTTTTTTTTTTTTTTTTTGAAAAACAACCCAAATATCTAAACGTAACAAAATCACTATATTCCGGCTTTCCGCGCTACTCCGGCTCTCGGCCTCTGGCCTCCGCCCTCGGCTCCTCCAACTCAAAGTCTCGGCGTCAGTTTTCCTGCTCACTTCATGTTCGGACAATCGATTTATTTCCCTTAGCAGGTATAAAATCTCTCTTCTCTATCTATATTTTTCCTTATGTATAAATTGGTTCATGAAATACGCCATTTTGCTATAGTGTAATCTCCAGTTTTATACATTTTTCCAGATTTATAAATCAAATTGTATTTTTTTCATATTCAAAGTTACAGTAAATACTTCTAAAAAATTAATTTTAACATTTTTTAGGAGAAATATAGGACTTAGATATTTGATTAATCTGGTTATATATATATATATATATATATATATATATATATATATATATATATATATATATATATATACACATTCCTATATGTATATGTGTTCATATAAGATTGTTACCAATTTCTAGTTTTTTCTTTTTGTTTTTTTTTTTTTTTTTTTGTTTTTTTTTTTCAGAACTGAAGTGTAATTTTTTTGAGTCTAGCATGTTATGGAAAATCTTATAAAAAAATATAACAAATTTTTTTGAAATTTAAAGGCATTGCCTTAAATATTTTATAAAATTTGATTTCTATAAATGTTAGAGTCATGCTAATGTAATTGTATTTGATATTCTATGTGGACTTGGTGGTCTTAAAGCTAAACTTTTACTCAAAGAATATGAGATCTAATACTGTTAGTCCTAATATTTTTCCTCATAATATTTGAAATTTAATCTGTTTTTATTTTTTGAACATTATATTTTCATTTCATAAAATGTTGTATGATTTTTGTACTTGCACATTAGCTTTAATCGCAAATCTTAGAATTCCACTTGTGCTTGCATGCTTTAATTCTCACAAAGGTCATTCTAAGCCCCAAAGCATCATTTGTATTCACCATTTATTGGATCTTATTAGATTTGTATATGTATTGTATATGTATATATATATTGTAGATACATAGCTTGGGAGGTAATTTGTGCGGGAAGTTACAAAAGTAGGATTTTATTTTTATTAGAGTATAGATAGATTTGTATGTCTTTGCATTCAATAGCGTATATCTATGAGAAAGTAGGGAACATGATTTTTTTTCCAAAGGCAAAGCATAGAATAGGAAGAGTATGCTCTTTTGTTCATTCTGTTAAAAAAATAGATCTGTAGTCCTTTCTATTATTCGGTCATTGTGTTGTTTTCTTTTTCCAGGATAACATCAGTTTCACATCTATGGGAGAATCCAAATATGCTTATTTGCTCAGTGATGATGGACTTTATCGTGTTAATATCCCTGACTTTGATCTAGCCCAACAACCCCAGTTCATGCTCGAGTGTGTAGGTAAGGAATTTGGTGGTATCATAACCTCAACTATGGGAATATGCAGCCAAGGGCAGGATGTATATTTGTTTGGGGGCTTGTTGTATAAGTCTGTGAATGGGTCACTTTATAACAGGAGCATGTATTTTTTCAATCCTCGGAAGGTCAAGGCTAAGGAATATCCCATTAGGGATACTAAGTTACTTTACAAATCAAGTGTTAAATACGAACCCATGGTTCTTCCTTTTTTGTTACAAGCTAAGCATAAGACTTACGTATTCTCAGTTGTTCGTCCTAGTTACGGCGGTCCAATGAAATCACCTTGCTGTTTTCAGTCCTTCGATCTATACAAAAAAAGCTTTTGCACCCTTCCAACTCCCTCCCTAGATGATTCATATCTGTTTTATGATGTTTGTGGGTATTTTCTTGTTTATGATCATATATACTTGATTATCAGTGGAGGGGCCAAGGACAGGAACGAGCATCGTGCCTTCTCTTTCAACACTAGATCATCAAAATGGAAGGAAATAGGGTCCATGATGAGCAAATTTGAAAAACACAATATTCCCATTCCCTATTGTCATAGTGGTGATATAGGACTCTCTCGTAAGTTTGACGATAATACTCAGATTCTGGTTGCCCTTAATTATGGTACACCTACTGCTTATCGGGTTAGGCTTGGTGCAGCAGGGAGTTCTCTCCGGCCTAAATCCTATAGGGGTTTACTTGAACATAAGTATGGGGTTAATAACATCTCACACCTACTTGATATTGGAAGTCAAAGGTTTTGTGTGATTTTTTCTGGGTATGACCAACATATTTTGGTTTATGCCTTCAAGATGGATTTTGCAGTTGAATATGAAAACCAGAGAAAGTCAACCTCACATGCAATGCCCTCCATAGAGATTCTCTGTTCCAAGAAATTTTTTCCCTCCGTAGTAAATTGTGTTTGTTTGGCGTAAGTACAACTGTCTTTTTTGACATTTCAATATTCTAATGTGTTTCAGTTCTGGCCTGTGTTGATTTCTGTTCTGATCCTACTTAACTATTGCTGTTTATTGTGCCAATATCTTAGTGTGGCTATATCCCCTGATGATATTTGGTTTATAATTTATTTTGCAGCTATGGTCCTGCATCTCAACGTTGTGTTCCCTGGGATAAAGTCAGGCCCATAAATAATAATAATTCTAATAATAGGGAGCCAGAAAGGAAGTCAGGTGTTGTGTTTCTCGAGGAACATTACATATAGTCAGACCAAAACCCAACCCAAATATCTAACCATAAACCCAACCCATTATATTATGTATATATAAACTCTCCTGTCGATAATCTCTCCGTTTACTTCCTTCTCCGGCTTTCCGCGCTACTCCGCTCTCGACCTCCGGCCTCGGCTCCTCCGGTTCTCCGCATTCGGCATCTCCAACTCAAAGTCTCGGCGTCAGTTTTCCTGCTCACTTCATGGTCGGACAATCGATTTATTTCCCTTAGCAGGTATAAAATCTCCCTTTTCTATCTATATTTTTTCTTATGTGTAAATTGGTTCCTGAAATAAGACATTTTGCTATAGTGTAATCTCCAGTTTTATACATTTTTCCAGATTTATAAATCAAATTGTATTTTTTTCATATTCAAAATTACAGAAAATATTTTTAAAAAAAAAATAATTATAACATTTTTTAGGAGAAATATAGGACTTAAATATTTGTAATTCCAAAAAACATATCCCTTCAATTGGTTTTTTATTTGTGCCATGGTGCAGGGGATTGCACAACTTATCCTAAATCCCCCCCTTCTTAAGGTAAACTGTTCGAGGAAAGTAGAACGCCTAGCCACCATTTCCAACCGGTAAGAACATCTAATTCATCCTTTGTTTGGTGGATTAATTCAGCTATGGTGGCTGAAAGTATGATACTGTATTTTTATGTTTCAATTTTGTAAAATTTATTTTATTGATTCTGAGGCCGGCCACCGACGCCCTTTATATTTAGTTTTATTTTAAATTTCTGAGATTGAATTGATTAATAATGATGGCTATACTCTTTTGTTCTGTCATTGGGTATAAAAAATTTTCAATCGCGTATGTCTTTGCATTCAATAGCCTATATCTATGAGAAAGTAGGGAACAAGATTTTTTTTTTTTTTTTCATTCTGTTATGCTCTTTTGTTCATTCTGTTAAAAATAGATCTGTAGTCCTTTCTATTATTCGGTCATTGGATGCCTTGTGTTGTTTTCTTTTTCCAGGATAACATCAATTTCACATCTATGGGAGAATCTAGATATGCTTATTTGCTCACTGATGATGGACTTTATTGTGTTAATATCCCTGACTTTGATCTAGCCCAACAACCCCAGTTCCTCGAGTATGTAGCTAAGGAATTTGGTGGTATCTTAATCGCAACTATGGGAATCTGTAGCCAAGGGCAGGATGTATATTTGTTTGGGGGCTTGTTGTATAATTCCGTGAATGGGTCATGTTATAACAGGAGCATGTATTTTTTCAATCCTCGCAAGGTCAAGGAGAAGGAATATCCCATTAAGGATACTAAGTTACTTTACAAATCAAGTGTTAAATACGAACCCCTGGTTACTCCTTTTTTGTTACAAGCTGAGCATAAGACTTACTTATTCTCAATTGTTCGTCGTAGTTACGGTGGTCCAATGAAATCACCCTGCTGTTTTCTGTCCTTCGATGTACTCAAAAAAAGCTTTTGCACCCTTCCAATTCCCTCCCTAGATTATTCGGATCTGTGCTATGATGTGAGTGTGTATTTTCTTGTTTATGATCATATATACTTGATTATCAGTGGAGGGGCCAAGGACAGGGACAAGCATCATGCCTTCTCTTTCAACACTAGATCATCAAAATGGAAGGAAATAGGGTCCATGATGAGCAAATTTGAAAAACACAATATTCCCATTCCCTATCGTCGTAGTGGCGATATAGGACTCTCTCGTAAGTTTGACGATAATACTCAGATTCTGGTCGCCCTTAATTGTGGTACACCTACTGCTTATCGGGTTAGGCTTGGTGAAGCAGGGAGTTCTCTCTGGCCTAAATCCTATAGGGGTTTACTTGAACATAAGTATGGGGTTAATAACATCTCACACCTACTTGATATTGGAAGTCAAAGGTTTTGTGTGATTTTTTCTGGGTATGACTAACATATTTTGGTTTATGCCTTCAAGATGGATTTTGCAGTTGAATATGAAAACCAGAGAAAGTCAACCTCACATGCAATGCCCTCCATAGAGATTCTCTGTTCCAAGAAATTTTTTCCCTCAGTAGTATATTGTGTTTGTTTGGCGTAAGTACAATTGTCTTTCTTGACATTTCAATATTCTAATGTGCTTAAATTCTGGCCTGTGTTGATTTCTGCTTTGATCCTACTTAACTATTGCTGTTTATTGTGCCAATATCTTAGTGTGGATGATATTTGGTTTATAATTTATTTTGCAGCTATGCTCCTGCATCTCAACGTTGTGTTTCTTGGGATAAAGTCAGGCCCATAAATAATAATAATTCTAATAATAGGGAGCCAGAAAGGAAGTCAGGTGTTGTGTTTCTCGAGGTACATTACATATAGTTAGTTCTTTTGCTGGCAATATAATGTTAGTTTTGAGCTCTTCTCTTCATTCACCATTCTTGTAATTGTCTTTGTGATCACACCAGGTGTAGAGGCTTTGTAAGGAGATGATGATTTATCTTTTTTGCCATATTTTGTTTTCCAAGACCAAGCTAGTAGTATAAAAATTTTCTGACAAATCAAACTAGCAAATAATGATGTCTTTGGGAACATCCATCTACAATTGGTAGTATGTTTGGAATTGTACTAACACTTTCGGGTCTTGCCTTTTATTCTCTTTCTGCATATTTCTAGCCCATTGTGAATCTTTTATGATCCACGTGTTGCCTTTATAAAAGGATTACACATGTTACTACTTATTTTAAAGTAGTAGAACTTTCAAATGCAATGCTCATTCAAAATGGATGAATTTTTTGTGAGGTTGTTCCCCAAATACTTAGTCGTGAGACGGATTAGGTCTCAGTAGAAAATGTAATACTAATTGTGTATAAACTAATTCTTACTTTTAAGAGAAAGAAAAAGTGTGTTACATTTGAAGAAAAATAATGATATTTTTAAACAAAGTGTAATATTCCTTCTGTCCCATTTTAAATTTAACTTTTCATAATGTTAAGTTTAGCATTAGTATATAAAATTTATTTATTAATAAATTATATTAAAAGTACTATTAAGCACAAAAGGTCAAATTTAAAAATAATTAAAAATACTATTGAAAATAAGTAATAGAAGAAAGAGTTGGTTTGCTCCTGAGAATGTCGCAATTGAACAGATTGAACAAGCTCGAATTGATGTAACATGAAACCTATTAGTCTGAAAGTTTGGGATCCCATAGTAACAACAACAATGAATGTGCTAAACTATTAGTAGGAATCGAAACTGCGACAATTAAGAAATTGGATAGAGGAGCACTAGTCATGCACTGAGAAGACAGTGGACGGCCGAGTGAGGCGCCCGAACGTGATAGCCAACGAGAAGCAGATCGCGAATGATCCATCCGAAGTGCACAAATCGCAGAGACATGGTGAAGAACCGTCGACGGGTGTGCGAAGAGGTGGGTGGAAAGGTGCTAGACGCGCAGCAGAGGAGGACGAGCACATGGTGGTTCGTGGTCAACAAGGTGGCCTTGTGATTCAGGCTTCAAGAGTGTTCAATGGGGAGGGGGCAGGGGATGTTCCGTCACCTGTCTGGCAACCCACTAAGGAACACCATACTGACCCGCCGGAAGACTTGGATGCAGAAGGCGACGTGGCTATGGAACTCGATGGGATACCAGTGCAGGATGAGGAAGTGGGGGCTTTAGCAGCTCATTGAGTTTTTGTCTTTTATGGTTTTCCTGTCCTTTTTTGGTGTTCTGATTGCCTCTTTGTTTCTTCCTTTACTTTTGTTTTTTATGAATCTGCTCCTCTGGAATTGTCAAGGGGCGAGTGGTAAGTCATTCCACCGCGCCCTTAAAAACCTGTTCCAGGTCTACAAGCCCAATGTGTTGGGCATTTTTGAGCCTAAGGTGTCGGGCCATCAGGCCAACACGATCTGCTCGAAACTCGGTTTTTCCGACTGGGTCCGTGTGGAAGCCGTGGGCTTTAGTGGAGGTATTTGGGTCTTTTGGAAAGACCCGGTACAAGTTTCAATCTCTTATACTCACCCCCAGTTCATGTTATTGCAGGTGTCCCAATCTGGCCAAGACCCTTGGGTTTTTGCGCTAATCTACGGGAGCCCGACTCACCACCTAAGACGTCGGCTTTGGAGAGAGCTTTCTCAATCCAAGCGGGGCTTGAAAGGCCCGTGGCTCCTGGCTGGAGATTTCAATTCAGTCATATCGAAGGCAGAAACAAGCCACTATAGCTCTTACTCATCTCAAAGAAGCTCGGACTTCGTCACTTGGATACAAGACGAGGGCCTAATTGACCTTGGTTTCTCGGGGCCCAAGCTTACTTGGGTAAAGGATGGGTCGACGGATGCTATCAAAGGGGCCCGTCTCGATAGGGCCCTTTGTAACCTGGATTGGCGCTTACGTGTCCCGGAGGCAACTGTCCAACATTTACCCCGAATTGCGTCCGATTATGCTCCACTCCTGATCAACCTACAAGGGGGGCGGAAGCACACTAACCACAATCATTTTCTTTTTCAGGCTGCTTGGCTCGCCCACGACGATTTGGTTCAGACGGTTCAACGCCTATGGAGCGGGAACCACAACCTTATGGCAAATGTCCAGCAGACAGCTGCAGGCCTACCCGCCTGGAATAGAGAGGTCTTTGGAAACATCCACAACCGGAAAAGAGTCATCATGACACGGCTGAACGGCATCCAAAAAGCCTTGGCCGAAAACATGCACAGAGGCTTAATAAAGCTTGAGCGAAAACTGCGCTTAGAATTGGAAGAGATCCTGTATCAAGAAGAGCTGCTGTGGTTCCAGCGGTCCAGGGAGGAGTGGATTACGTCGGGGGACAGGAACACGGCATATTATCACGCTGCGGCCTCTGTTCGAAGGGCCCGCAATAGGGTTACGAGACTTTTAGACAACAATGGCGCATGGATTGCTGACGACGCCGAGCTCAAAGATCATATTCAAAAATTTTACATTAGTTTGTTTACTGATTGCAGGGAGGTGGCACAAACCCCGGTTCTGGAAGCAAGGTTCCCACGGCTTAGACGCATAGACTGGACCATTTTCAACAGGACCGTGACGAAGGAGGAGGTCTACGAGGCTGTCTGCGACATGAAGCCTTTCAAAGCTCCAGGCCCCGATGGTCTTCCTGCAGGCTTCTACCAGCACACGTGGGAAGTGACCGGGGGCAGTATCTATGAGATGGTCCATGAGGCAATCAGACACGGGCAGATCCCGGAGGGCATCAACGACACCCTTGTCGCACTCATTCCCAAAGTGCCGACTCCGGAAACCATCAAGCAGTTCCGTCCTATCAGTCTTTGCAATGTCAGCTATAAGATTCTCATTAAAACCATCACCAACAGGTTGAAGAGCATCCTCCCACGGATGGTGGGGCCGTTCCAAAGTTCCTTTGTCCCGGGCAGGCAGATTTCTGATAATGTGATCATTTACCAAGAGGTCCTCCACACAATGCGGGAGGCAAGGGCAACAAAAGATATATGGCCATCAAGCTGGACCTCGAAAAGGCGTACGACCGGCTGTCGTGGGATTTCATCCAGGACACCCTCGAGCAGGCCGGTTTTAACGACAGCTGGAGGAATATTATCATGACCTGTGTCAAAACTTCCAGGTTAGCCATTATTTGGAACGGGGATAGACTTGTCCCGTTCAGGCCAGAAAGAGGCATCCGTCAAGGTGACGCCATGTCTCCCGCCATCTTCGTGTTATGCATGGAACGGCTCAGTCATCTGATTGCGGCTGAGGTTGAAGGCCATAGATGGAACGGAATCAAGTTGGCGTCTTCAGGCCCAGTTCTATCACACTTATGCTTCGCGGATGATATGGTTCTTTTCACGGAGGCTTCGTTGGACCAAGTGGAGGTTGTTCAGAATTGTCTAGCTAAATTCTGCAGAGCTTCCGGTCAGAAAGTTAGTCTCGAGAAATCTCAGATTCAGTTCTCCAATAACACGCCACCCGGTCTTGCAAATGAGATTGCAAGTAAATTTGCTATTGCCGAGACGAAGGACTTGGGACGATATCTTGGGGTGCCATCCATTCATGGGCGGGTAACATGCAATACCTATGCAAGCCTCCTTGAGCGCATTTCGACAAGACTAGAGGGGTGGAAAGCTAAAACTCTTTCCTTAGCCGGAAGAGTCACCCTGGCGAAGTCCGTTTTAAATGCTGTCCCTGTCTACACTATGCAAACTGCAGCGCTCCCGAAGGGTATCTGCACCGAGATTGAGAAGAGAACGAGGCGCTTCATATGGGGCAAGAATGAGCAGACTGGAGGCGACAAGTTAAGTCTGGCTAGCTGGGATGTGGTGACAAAACCGAGGGAGGCGGGTGGTTTGGGGCTACGACGCCTGCATGCCACGAACACCGCTTTCATGATTAAGCTCGGTTGGAGGATTCAGACGGAGCCGCAGGCCCTTTGGGCGCAAGTCCTGGTTTCTAAATATGGCAGTCTGGTGAGTGGAGCCGGTAGAAGGAAGACTTCGAATGTCTGGAAGGGCATTGTTGAGGCGAAGCCGGAGTTGGAGAAGGGTCTAACTCACATAGTCCGTGATGGGAATGCAACTCAATTCTGGATGGATAAATGGCTAACTTCCAGGCCTCTCTACGACCACCTTCAGATTCCTTTGAGCCTTCCCGATCTTTATGGGACTGTAAATTCTTATTGGGACCGTGATCGGGGTTGGATTTGGGAAAAGTTAGCGCAAGCTCTGCCTAACGAAATTTTGGAACGTCTTGCAGGTTACAGGTTGACGGAGGCGGGCGTCCAGGATGAATGGGGCTGGGGTCCGGACTGCCGGGGTAAATTCTCGGTAAAGTCTGCGTATGCCCTCATCACCAACGCTCCCGGAGTCTCCACTAACGAATTTTGTTTTCAATGTGCAGGACAGCGCGAGGATTTAAATCATCTCTTTAGGGACTGCAGAGCTGCGCGACAAATTTGGAACAAGTCCTTACATTGGCGCATGATAGAAAAGCTTCGACCTCTCACTTGGCAGGAGTGGTTTGCGATTAATCTACAGGGCGAAGTGAGACAAGGCTTCGACGAAGGCTGGCCGGAGCGGTTTGGAGTCAGGCTGTGGTGGATGTGGCGTTGGCGGAACGATGAGGTGTTCAACCATCTTTCGATCCCAAGCGCTCTTAAATTAGATTGGCTACGAAAATACGACGCAGAGGTGTCCGGGGCGTTCGCGAAGAAACGTAGGCCTCTGAGCAGGAACACTCCGGCAGTCGACACGAGTCTCGCCTGGAGGAAACCGACACCAGGCTGGTTGAAACTAAATGTGGATGGAAGTTGTAGCAGGAATGGTATTGCATGCTGCGGCGGAGTTCTACGAGATGATTTTGGAGATTGGCGTTGCGGCTACACATGCAGAATTGGGAGGTGCTCGATAGAGGAGGCGGAAGCCTGGGGCGTTTTACATGGACTTTGCATGGCGAAGAACTACGGGGCTACAAAAATTATCCTTGAATGTGATTCAAAGGCTACAGTTTTGCAGCTGAGAAGAGGCAAGGACTGGCAAGGGCAGAATCACAACATTGGCGTTTTGTGTTTAAAGGAGGCGGCAAGCTTTTCTGAGGTTAGGTTCGAGCATGTCTACAGAGAGCAAAACAAGCTGGCAGACAGATTAGCCTCAATGGCAACTATGGATCAACATGGGT